AGGCCACGTGTCCGTCATCACCAAAGTTGCCTCGGCTCGGGAACTTGGGTACGATTGGGGAAGGTCACTTCGTGAGCACCTTCGCTCGCCCGATCAAAGATCGGCCTCTACTAACCATGATATCGGGTTTTGAAAACATTATGCGTTCTTATTCCGGTTATTAGCCTAGATTTACTACGTGATGCGCACAACATACAAGTATAGACTGGATCGCCTGAATTGGAACAAAACATTTCATGTTTGTTTATTTTGAAAATGGTTTGATGGTGCTACCCACAAGTAGGCTAAAATGTGGATTTGCCACCCTCAGGTGGGCTTAGAAAACAAGATGATTTGCCACTCTCAAGTGGGCTTTAAAACTCACAATCGATGAATTGTTTCAATTCAAATAACCCAACCTTCACCCACAGGCATTCAAGCAGGTATATCACATAAGCAAATAGCCTCATGGTAAAGCATGCTATCATAGCAGTCACTCACACACATGCAAGGATGCTAAAGCATAAAAAGCTTACCTAGCACTTTGTGCCAAAACCGAAGCTATGTTAGAAATCAAATGCATGATCCTAACTATGCTGAAATGCCTAATGCAACACATGCAAAATGCAACTAAGATAGGCCCGGCTATTCTAAGGATGGCATGTGAAATGCTACAGCTAACACGTATTCAACTTGGAATTGAAATACAAATGCAGTTAGTATGATGCGCCGAGCCCGGCGCATGCAAGAGATGAATGAATGCAAACATGCTATCATACTGTATGCTAATTGAAACATGCCCTAATTTAACCATCATAAGCTGGTAAATAAAAGGGAGAAAGACGTGGGGTTGGAAGACATACATCACACTCACGCACACTTATTACAACATTGCCTTGGCTCGGAGGGTCCGAAAGAATAATACAGTCCGAATAAATACAAAACCCTAATTAATTAACAAATTAATCTAGGAAAGCAGGTAAATTGGCACGCAAATCCATGGACTGCCTCAGCTCTGTTCCAAATGATGAATGATGCATGCTCAAGTTGCCTTGCGTAGAAATCCGTTACGATGCCCCGGTTTGTCTCTGTTTGCAATTGTTTTCGAAATATTACGCAACGCTCCAGAAGGCTGCTGATTTCTGATTTACTGCAACTGAGAGCAATAAAGGGGCATGGCAAAGTATTTCACATATGTATGCATGACTACTCTTCAGGGAGTGTAGTCCTCGATCCTCGTGCCACCAATCATGCATATCGATGCATGATGGCCGAGGAGCCGAATTGCACGACTCAATATGAGATGAATGCACATGAAAACACAACAAGACCTAAACTCCATCATGGGTAATCCAGAGTGTCGGCGACAGGGAACTGAGACACGTTCCGTCACTCGGAGTACGAAACGTCCCTCGTTTCCCGTGCTCGGGCTAACTTCTATCCCAAACACAATGCAAATGAGATGGCATACACAATGCGACTAACATACAACCTAGCATACACAATGCTATGAAATGGCATACACAAATGCTCGATGTAACACGGCATACACAAAGTTCTAACATGCAACCTAGCATACGCAATGCTATGAAATGAAAAGGCATACACAATGCATAATGGACTTACACCATCATGAGTGGACCTCAGCCACACTCACATCAGTGGTCATAAGATGAAAATGAGACAACCGAAATGCGTGCACATATGCACGCATACCGAGGACCGAACCTAAGGCATTAAATGCCACTCTACCAAAACATGGCAAGGATGAAGCATGGCATTCAAACATGTAATTTTCAGCACTGAAACGTAATGCTAAATGGTCCCGAAACATGGAAATATGGCACCCGATGCATGGAATAAGCCTCGAAACTCAAAACTAGGCACATGTATTGACTTGTAGCTATACAAAGAAAGCATTATTTGACCATGAAGCACAAAGACAAAGCCAAGGCAGTCCCAAAACGATGCACATTTTTAGTTTAGAGCATGGCGAAAAGATGCTAACATGATGGACTAAAATAGTATGCAACATTGGCTAGCAAGCATGGGTTACATGGCATGTATATGAAGAAAATGAGAACTCATCAAACCAGCCAAAAACAGTGAATAAAACATGCCAAAATATGCCCAAATAATCACTGAAATGCAACAAATGCATACAAAAATGAGGGGCTTCTTTTGGAAGGCCATTCAAGGGGTTGTTAAGCACATACAAGATAGACACTTAGCATGACCAAACCAACTCTGGAAATGAGTTATGATAGCCCTAAAACTCACAAAATTGGCCCTGAAATCAGTCAAGGAAGCATACGATGAAAGGCCCCCTCAAAAGGCCTTGAATGGAATTGTTCTACACATGCACTATAGACATAAATATGATCAAAAGGGCCCTGGACAGACCTAAGGCAGACCTTAAAACCTACAAAATTGGGCCTAAAAGGTGACTTCAATGCATGCAAAATAGAGCCCCTTGGGAAGCCAATGATGCTAGTAAAGAAAATGAGGGGTGAGAGGGTCACCCCTCTTATGATTTCAAAGCTCAAAACCTATCAAAGCCACTGAAAATCCCTGGATTTCAGTGGCTAAGAGGCCAAACACAAGTCCAATGCAAATGCTCTAATGCATAGCCCTAAATATGAAGGAATGAAGCATGCAAGGAAGGAGATGACTCCAAACAGAAAAGTGACCTCAAGAAAACTTAAAGAGAAGGTGAAAACAAGGATTTTTCCAGTTTATAACAAATCTCGAAAATGTTTACAAGTAAGGCTAAAGTATGATGTAAAAATAGCCCTAAAAGAGAGATAGAGGGTAAGGGGAAGTAGATGACCTCAAACAGTAAAGTGCCCTTAAACAAAGTTGAAGAGGAGCTCAAAATATGACACTTTCTAGTTTATTACAAAGCCTATAAATACTTTCAAGTGAAGCTAAGTAATGAAGCAAAAAAATACAAGCTTAAGGGAAATAGACACTTACCCTTGAAGAGCCGACCTCCAGCAGCTTTTGGACCAAGTTGGTGAGCTTTCAACCTCTGAAAATGACTTCCAAGGTGCTGGAATGGATGATGGAGGTGTGGTGCTAAGGGTTGTAGTGCAAATGGACCAAGAAAATTAGGATTTTGGAGTTTGGAATAGTGACAATGGAGGAGGGAGGTTATATGCCTTAGCAAATTTTGTTCAACCCCCTGATATGAAGCCAAGCCTCTCCTTTATAGAGGAGAGGTTCCAAAATATCCAAAAAGGTCCCCAAGTATCCTCCATACACGTGTATGGAGGATACACCAAATGGCCTCCAGCTGGCACAGTTGGATTATACTCAGAAAAAGTAAAAAGCAAGAAGTAGGCCGACCAGTTCAAGTGGCCGGCCGGCTAACCCCCCTGGTCGGCCGACCAGGGGTCAAAAGGGTCAACAAAATTTTCTTGCCGGCCACCCCAGAAAGGTGGCCTCCCAGATCAGTGCAACACAGCTATGTAGAGAAAAACCAGAAAATGTGACCCAAGGGAGAAAAAAGCTAGCTTTTAAGCAAGGTTCAAAAGGGTCAAGATGAATTTCTGGCCGGCTTACCCATATTGGTGGCCTCCCAGATGATCACAACACAATGGTGGTATGAAAAGCCAGAAAATGTGGCTCAAAAGTGAGAAAAACCAGCTTTCTGTCAGAAAAACCGGCTTTTGGAGAGAGAAAATGAGAAAACTGGCTTTTCAGGGGACAAGGTGGCCGGCCACCATACTACCCCCTCCCTAACAATGAAAAAAAAGGGTCTCTACCAAAAATGGACCAAAATGGATGCAAAACGAAGGTTCGGGGGCCAAAACGCGCGGTTCGGGGCCCCGAAAACAGGCTGTTAGGCACCGGAAGTGGCATATGACCACGAAGGTGGTCTCCCGGGCCACAGTGTCCCTCTGAAGGGAGGAAATAAGGTGTGTGCCAAAAACCGGAGCAATCGGAGGTAGCTAAGCGGTCCCGAACCGAGGCACACGGCCGACGGCTCCGAAAATCGGAAACCGGGCTCCAAACGGGAAAAATGGCCTACGACCCTAAAACATAACCTACGGCCACTGAGAGATGGTCTATGAGACCTTTCCCTCTCTTCGAGAAGAGAAAACAGAGAAAACAGGACTCAGTTCGCAAACCGAGGCAAGGCACAAAAAGAGCCCTGAAGTCCGGAGGCAAGGCTCGCAGCCGAGACTCTGAAACCTCAGAACGAGCACAATATGCAACATGATCGAGCGCCCAGTTGGTGACGTCTGAGTCTTAAGGTCGGTCAAAAATGGGGTGTCTACAGTTATAGAACACAGGTTTGATTCGCCGAACAAATTGTTTGGAGTACTATTACAATTTGTGAAGATCATTGTATCCTGGGAGATAGACGCCACTCAACCGTAAGTACTATAGCGGGGCGAATCTGTCTTAAGGACAGAGTGTCACACACTCGACTTGGTCTTTATTTTTAATTCGGTTCGATAATTAAATTCGGTATGTTATTTATTTTATTTACACAGAAGATTGTTCCAACAATTTGCCCAAAATATTTTTTACCAAAACAAACGGAGCATTAACGTTAGTTGCTTTTCATGCTCTAGTTTCTTCATCACAATGATAAAGTTAATAATTTTTATGGTTTCTAAGACACACACACACGCACACACATATATTGACATAATTAGATTAATATTAGACTAAGACTTGGTTTGGCATAATCAAAAAAAGTCAAAAAGTCAAAAAGTCACTATCCTATTTAAGTTACATCATCTCTCTGCCACATCACCTCAAATCTAACCCATAACCCAACCCATATGTCATAAAAAGTCAAAAAGTGCACTTATTTAGTTTATCCCGAACAACCCAAATTTAGGCAATACCTGAGTGTTTCCAAAATATTTGTTTCTAAAACTGTCTTATTTTACTTGCAAATGCAAATAAGAACTAATTCTTACTACAACCAAACTGTGCCTCTAATTTTATTATTATTATTATTCGTAATTTAAATGCAACATTCACATTTTGCATTTTCATTGCAGAGTTTACGGCGAAATTCATGAGCTGCTACAAGATGTGGATCATGAACAAGAAAAGCACATGACTTTGAACAATTATAGGGACATTTTTGAAGCCAAATGTGATGTCTTGAACAATTTACTTATAAAAAAGGAAAATAAATGGCTAATTGTCTTTAGCCATAGTTTAATACATGCTTGTGTAAGAATGGTTTCATAATATATGTAATCTTCATATATTAAAGGAGAGAAATAAAATAGAAAAACATGTATAAGAATAAGTCTAGATTCATATATTTATGTTTGTATGTTTTTTTTATCGGCAAAGCAGAAGCTTTATAGATGTAAGAAGTAAGTATAAAGTACAAAACAAAATACATCAATAAAGAAAAGGGACGTGCAAAAGCATTACAATAAGCTAAATCGTCCCAACTAAGCCCATCTAATTATTTGCTAGCACCTCAGAGTTGGTGAGAAACCAATGAGAAAACAGACCAAAACAAAACAAATAACAGACCTAAATAATAGCTACCAAAACCGAGCCACCACATCAAATAATATGATGCTTAGCAGACCAATAGATCAAATAGAGATCAGCATAGATAGATAGGAAAACCAAATCAAATAACAGCCACCAAATCAAACAAAACAAAGTAGACCAACTTAGCAGACCAACTGACCACAGCCTAAGCAGCCAAGAATCAAAAGGTAGTAGAAGCAGAATTAGCAGAACTACCAGAATAAGCAGCCTAGATCAGTCACTGGCCTCAACAACCAGGCACGGCCACACCAAACCTGAGGCAAAATTTGACCAAAAAGACCGAAAAAAACACCTCAACAACAAAAGCACAACAAGATCTACCCAAAGCATAGCATATCAAACCAACAAAGCAGGGCATCAATCCTGTTTATTAATCACCAAAACTTGCAGCTAGCTGCTTCTATACAGAATCTGGACCAAAAGTAGCAGCAACACCAGATAGCAGACTCAAAAGTAGCAGAGCATAACTGAAATTAGCTTTGCAAGGCAGTCTCCTCTATATCATTAACACAGCCTGGCAATCACCATGGCAGTCACCATTTCAGTTCACCATACAAGCACAAAACAGATAGCCTTATGACCTTATATCAGTATGGCCCAACATGACATTTCAGCACTTCACTGTTAAGCAGAGTAGGCCAACAGATCAGGACTTTGGCTTTCCTTATTATCACCCACCAAGACTTTGTAGCCTTTTTCCTCCCAAACAATACCTGATGCCTCTGAGAATAAAAGTGAAATCCTAATGGATAACTCTCAAACAATGAAAGCTAGTTGTACAGCCAATACACCAATAGCTGCCCCACTACACTGAACAACAAATATGCTTTCTGCAAGGGCTTGCTTGACAAACATCTCTATATACCTGCTTTATTCAAGGGCTGGTTTTACACATCCAAATGTACCAAAAGCAACAATGACATTTGGATTGAACAAACAGCAGAAGCCAACCACAAGCCACACTCACAACATATCAATACAAAACAGATCACAACAAGGTCACAGCAGAACAGAAGACAACTCTTACTTAGCCCATGACACCACCACTGCTACACCCACACAACAACTCATAGATCACAGCTCACAAGTCATAAACAGGACTGTTCTCAACTCTCCTACCTAATACAATATTGAACTTGATGCAAATTAAAAACTATATCATTCACAGAGAACACCACTTTGGCTGGCGAGGATTTAACCCACAGAGCTATTCTTGCTTTGACAGTTTCACATAATTCTTCCAAGTTTGGCTAAGATCCATTAAAGACACAGTCATTTCTATGTTTCCATGTGGACCAAAAAACAGCCAAAGGCACAACCTTCCACAGCATTTTCTTATTCTTTTTCATTTTACAAAATGACCACCACTGCAGCAGCCATTCCATAGAGTTTGGCATCACTCACTGAAAACCCCACCACTTCATAATCTTAAACCACATCAGCCAGACAAATGGACAAAAGGACAAGATATGGTTGGCGGTTTCCACCTCATTTTGACAAAACATACAACCCACATTAGCAGCCTCATCTAATATCTCAATCCTTTGAAGGAAGCTAGATGTTTTCACCTTGCCTAAGCAAGCCAACCACCCAAAGAATTTGAATTTTGGTGGTGCACAATTGTTTCAAACAGCCTTTGCCAGTTTCCTATCAGGTCCCAATAATGACTCACAACTTTTGTACCCTGAAGTAACAGAATACGTCCTAGAAGAATTAGCTTGCCACTTCCATACATCAGACCTGAAGACCCTCACTGCTGGTGCAATCCTGAGACAGTTATGTAATCTTCTGACCTCCTCCTCTTTCCAAACCAACAGAGATCTCCTAAAAGCCAAAGTCTAGTCCTGAGACCCTTCTCCTCTAGTGAAAAAATCAGAGACTACTCCATCTTTAGCAATGGACAGAGAAAAGAGTCTGGGAAATTCATCTTTGAGGCACAACTTCCTTGCCTATTTATCCCTCTAGAATTGAGCTCTCCGGCCATTCCCCAGCTCAATTGCAGTGTTTTAGAGGTAAAAATTGTGTAAGACAGGTGCAGATTGAACTGCACTAATTATGTCAGACCAAATTTTTGAGCCTCCGACCCTGCCTTCCAAATATGGTAGCCATCTTCTTCTCTCTATGTTATACTTTGAACATATAACTTCCTTCCATAAAGACTGATTCTCTGCCCCAAACCTCCACCACCATTTCAACAGTAGGCACTTATTCATATCAATTATTCTTCTAATTCCCATACCTCCGAAAGTTTTGCTCTTTGTAATAGTTTCCCAACTAACCATGTGAACTTTCCTTCTAAGGTCTGAACCCCCCCAAAGAAAATTAGCTTGGATTTTGTCAATTTCCTTTGCCACCCCAACTGGTATTTTGAACAATGACAAATAGTAAATTAGCAAGTTGCACATGACAGATTTAAGTAAGGTCAGCCTCCCAGCAAATGAAAGTAGCCTTCTATTCCATGTGGGTAATTTCTGCTTAAATTTGTCCAAGACTAGCTTCCAAGTGCTTAACCTACCAGGATTAGCTCCTAGAGGTAACCCAAGGTACTTTAAAGGCAGTGTCTGATAAGCACAGTTTAGTCTGGACGCAAAACTATGCAGCAGTCCAAACTCACTCGTATGATAGTTAATTTTCAACCCCAAAAGAATTTCAAAACACCTGAGAATTCTTTTGATGGTCACCACTTTCACCCATTCAGCTTCACAAAATAGTATTGTATCATCGGCAAATTGCAAATGCATTACTCTTACCCCATCATTGCCAATGATAGCACCTTGGATTAAACCCATTTCCTTGGCTCTATCAAACAAAATATTCAACCCCTTAGCCACTATGTTGAATAGGAAAGGTGACAGTGGGTCATCTTGCCGAAGACCACGCTGTGGGCAAAATTTCGAGGTTAGTGAACCATTCACTAGAACCAACACTTTTGCGGAGGTTACACAGGTTTTCATCCATTTCACCTATCTATCTCCAAATCCAAAATTGGATAGCATATTAAATAAGAATTCCCAATTGACCGAATCATATGCCTTCTCAAAATCTAGTTTTAACACCAATCCTTTCTTATTTGATTTTCTCCACCCATCAACTATCTCGTTAGCAATAAGTATCCCATCTAGGATATTCCTACCCCTCAAAAATGTTGATTGGGCCTCGCTAATTATCTTAGGCATCACTTGTTTCAACCTATTGGACAAGACTTTAGCCAAAATTTTGTACAATGAGCCAATAAGACTTATGGATCTATATTCACCCAAGCTAGATGGTTGACCGCTTTTGGGATTAGATCAATAAAAGAGCTATTCAAACAAGAAACCAGTGTAGCATTTTGGTGAAACTCTCTAAAGAAATGCATTAACTCCGATTTGACTATTCCCCAACATTTCTTAAAGAAGGCCAAATTAAATCCATCAGGCTTGGGTGCTTTGTTGCCTTCACAACTCTTGATAACAGATCTAGCTTCCTTCTCTGAAAACTTTGCTTCTAACAATTCCGCTGCTAGGCTTCCTCCAATATTTTTGAATTGGCCAGATAAGTTAGGCCTACCAACCCACGATTCAGAGAACTGATTCTTGAAATGAGACATCACCACATGTCTGACCTCCATAGGTTCCTCAACCATTACGTCATTCATCATCACTGAACACAAAGAGTTTTTGATATTTCTGTTGTAAGCCATTATATGAAAATACTTTGTATTCCTATCCCCTTTTAAGGCCCAGTTCATTCTTGACTTTTGTAGCCAGGTCCATTCTAGCATTTTATTCAATCTCCAAATTTCCCCTATATGTTCCCTTCTTCTAGCTTGTTCATTCTCCAAAAGTACTCTTTCTTTAGCAATTAGTTCAATAACATGGGCTTCATCTTTAGCAGCTTTGAGCTTAAATTCAATCTTCCCAAATCCTTCAATATTCCGGCTTGAAACTTCTTAAGACAACGGTAACTAGCCCAACCCTCCACCTGAAATCCTGACCAAGTTTCCTCCACTACGGATACAAACTTAGGATGAAGGGCTCAAGAATTGAGAAACCTAAATGGTCTAGGTCCCCTATCTCTATCATCCTCCATCAATATTACAGGACAATGGTCAAATAGTAGCCTAGGGAGTCCCCATAACTTGAAGTTGAAATTCTGTAACCACTCATGATTAAGAATAAATCTATCAATTCTGCTCCATTTCTCTCTAGTTTGTGAGTTGCACCAGGTGAATTTCCTACCAAGCATTGGTAAGTCTATCATATCTAATTGGTCTATCAGTGTATTGAAATCCCTCATTCCTCTGTCTCTTCTAAAACACCCAATTCTTAATGTAATGGTCCGTATTTCGTTAAAGTCACCCCCATACACCATGGCTCCAAAAATATATTCTTCAACCAAGAAAAAGTATTCCATAGTTCATTCCTTCTAGCCACATCCGATGGACCATAGACATTAACAATCACACTATTAAAAGAGTAGAGGAGAGTACCTGACAAAAGGATGAAATTACGATGACCACAGCAAGCAGTTAATTGGAACACCCCTAGATTCTATATGCATAGTAGCCCACCTACTTGGCCTTCCACATTCACTGCCATATACTCAAAATTATCTTCATACTAGATGGATTTTACCACTTTGAGAGTTATTGTTGACCTCTTTGTCTCTTGGAACTACACTAAACTAAATTTCCTTTATGCCAGACTTCTTTTA